GTAACAGGAAAATATATCAGCCAATTTCATCAAAGGCAAATTTAATGGCAGTTTTGGACACCCCTTGACTGCTACCCTCAAAAATTGCACATCTCAATAAATTAAATAATTTAGAATAAAGCCAAACAATACTCTTTAACTATCAGTACATTGACAATTAGGGTGGATACAGGGTCCAGAAAGGTTTTTAATTCTTTTTTAGCTTACGAGATTTTCCAGAGAGAGTTGTATCAAAAGGAATTTGTGTAAGAAATGTTAACTTGCAGCGTTATCAGGCCAAGTCCTCTTCTGCAATTGAGATAGCCCTACCAACACTACAGAAGTCTCTGTAGTCAAATACAAATCCCAATGAAGAACTATTAAACAAAGACCATACCTTCAGTATTTACTGATGACATGCAATAACATTAAGCAAGCAGTAACAGGACTCCATTTACATTTGGAGCATTCAGAAAGAGACTGTTGCAGTTCAGTCTGGGTACAGAACTGGAATTTCACAAAACACTTGTGAACAGTCAACATTCTCTCCCCACTGAACTTGACACGCAGTTTCAAAACAATGCATCTAGGTCTATGCATTCTTTATATGAACAAAATACTAAGAGCAGAACTGATTTAGAGTTGCTGAACACTCACAAACTCATGTCAAGAAAATATACAGGTACATCTTGCAATAAGTGGTCATTCTGTTTTCCTGCATACTCAGAGGTTTAGAAAAACAACTACATAGGAACTATTTGATGTCAACGAAACCTATTCTTCCACAGTGCTGTTCACTTCCCTAGGTTAGGAAAGGTGTACCTTCTATTATCTTTCCTAAAAGTGAACATTTTTTGTTTTAATACATGCCAACCTTGTTTGGGTCTAAGCCATGACAATGTCTTTAGGCTATGAAATTTCACAAAGGGCATACACTTAAACTATGGAATTATATGGAGAAAGCACAGTCCTGACATTCTCAGGTGTGTGGATGCTTTTATGTCAAGTGTCTTTTTTGCAGGTTATAGTCATTTCATGAGAACAAGCAAGAATGACACAAAAATCTGCTTTGGAGATACATATAAGCGCGCATCAGCTCTGGCTAAGAACAGGTACTCTTACAAATACCTCTCCTGCCGCAAACCGTAAAGATAAAAGCAGCAGACTTACACAGGCTGCATGTGCACATGCACACAATGAATCAAATGGAAATCAAGATAGCTAAGAAGTCACTCTGCAGCACTGATCTTTGTAATCGCCAGTCTCTGGTGACTTTCTGTGCATTCTCCCTCGCCCTTTCAGTTTCAGAGAAACTGTCAGGTACTCAGCAAGGAAATATTGATATCACTGGCAGTGAGTTACTGTGAAGACAGTTGGCATTTCCGAGATGGCAGGGAGAGAATAAGGAATTATTGCTGTACCACTGAATTCTATTAAACTCAATGAGCAACAAGAAATTAGGCCTAAGGCAGAAGAAAGGTTAATGGATATGACATTGGTTTTTTTTCTTCCCGAAAGGCTCAACTTCAGTGTCTTCCAACAATCTCAGATTCTGAATTCCAGTATATTGTATTTTAGAACAAACCAAAAAATAGCCCTGAGACTAAACATACTTTTTAAGAGCTGCTATTGCTTTACATAAATCAAACACAGCAATCATTTACTTCCACAGTATGCAATACTTAATTTTTAACTCCCTTTTTTCCTCACTTGGGATATATGTGCAACCAAGAATTTCTTTCCAAGATATATGTACTCAAGCATCACCTATTACTTTCCCAAGTACTTAAATTTGTTGCTATAGAATTACGGCACCAAGCAAGGAAAGAATAGCTGAAGAAGGTCAAACTTTAACAAAGAAATCCTCTTCCCTTGTGACTTGAGTTTTTTAAAAAAGGATTCCAATAGTCATAGCTGCCACCACGGACCTTCATTACAATAATGACTTCCTTCCTTGTGACTTATGTAGCATTTATAACTGGACAAACACCATTTAGTATATCTCAAAATCAACTGTCAGTGTTACTGAACACTGCCATCAGCTTGTAAGTGTGGCTAGAAGTGTAAAATACCAAGAAAACAGGAGTATGAAGTGTGTCAAGTTGTGCATAAAAACAGATCTTTAATTTTTCTTAAGCTACAAAGTAGGCAATCAAAGAACTGACTAGGTCTATGCATAGTTAGGATTTAAAGTACGCCAAAAGAATCTGAACTCTTTCGGTAAAACTGTGCTTGAGTAATGCATGGGTCAACTCCTCAAAAAACTGAATATCCCACTCTATACATAAAAGAATTTTAAAAGAGCTCCATGCACTCTCAAAGGTGTTTTGAAATTGATTTAAATGTTTTACCCAACAGCTCTGCTATGGCACAAGACAGCACATAAAAAGTTTAAGGCTAATTTTTGTACGCACACATGTAAAAGCTGGTCTTGGAAAAAGAGCTGCAATATTTTTTTAATTCTCAGTCTTTAGTGTGGATTCATAATAAAGTAGAGCTGCCACAGCATTAGTAGAGTTGTCCTGCATATAGAAAAAAGACTGAATGTTATCCTGAATGCAGTTTGTTTCTATAAAAAGCAAAAACCTACACATTTACATTTGGTTTTTATCAGAGCAGCTCACTAATTTGTACAGTATATTGTCCAATAACATACAATGTAAACTACCAAAGAGATGCTCAAGTACTACTACAACAACAGGTGCAAAAGAAAGACCTAGGGTAAGAAAGCCCACTGCTATTTCAGAGTCACTGTGTGATGAAAACAAACATCAGAATGCAGTTTTGGTGAAGTCACTTAAGTCTCAAGGCTGTAATAAAGGCTATTTGTTAACTTTAGCCCTTTGGTTCTTAACCATTCAGTTAAGATCTCCTGATAAAGCACTAGGCAGTTTGGCATTGATGGAGAAGCTCTTTACATGCTACTGTTACAGAAACAGAAAACAGACTTCCAAGCACTTCCTTCACCTGAATGATCTGATCCTCCATGAATCCAGTCACACCAGGTTTAAACAAACCTATGTAAAGCATTAAATTTTAGACTTCAAATTGCACTGTAATTATTTCAGAAGAAACTAATTAATATCCACAAAATCTACACAAGAATTATCAACTGGCCAAATTGAACAAATTTGATGCACAAAGCTGCTTATTTTAAAACTCTGTCCCTCAACAACTTCTTCAGTGTAAATCACAGCTATTATTTTAAAACAGTTCTTTAGTCCCACCTGCACAATCCATCCATTTTAATGGGAAGAAAAACAGTAAACCAAATTCTTCTTGTTTGCTAATTTAACAGGTCTAGTATTTTAATACTTCCCAGTACATTTTTCATTTGCTGAATTTTTGCACAATGTTTTAAAAAGGGGGTCATTATACTAAGAACACAGGACTTGTGCATGCTAGTGTGATTTACACTTACTTGCTGAGTAAAGTACGTTGCTATAATACATAATTGTTTATATTGCAGTAAACGTGCATCAAAACTACAACTATTAGCTGCACAAGTATGGACTTTTTTTTTCTCCCAAGCGAAATGTTTGCAACCAAATTTAGCAAATTAAGCACTGAACAAAATTGTTATATTTGCAGAATCAACTTTAAATAGATGCAGTTATGAGGGGACCTTAGTATACAACTGATCCATGGCAGGTATGTATATGTAAGCCTGTGAGAACTGCTCATGTGTAACAGACCAATGATATTCAGACCCAGAGACTATCCACAATGACACTTACTTTTAAATTACTGAATCTAATTCTGTAAAAGAGATACAAGGTCAACTTGTTTTATAAGCTGATACAACACTGGTATTCAGGTCATTGCAGGTTTTTTGCATATCTATATTGTATTTACTCAAACCCAAGTAATGCACTCCAGGAACACATGAGAAACCTCAAAGTTCCTGAACAGTTTCTGTTTGCAATCGCCTTTCCCCTCCAATTTTCACCTTTTATTATAATTTCAAAGGACCATAAACTGCTGCATTATCAGGACAGACCAGGTATCAAAAAATTTTCTGTTTTACATGCCAGCCTAAGCTGCTAGTCAAAAAGGGAAAAATTTATCTGCTGCTGTAAAGTTGTGTGTAACAGATACCATGCCTGACAAACCATCACCTTCAACGGACACACAAAACACCACTATGACAAAAGGGAGGAAATCATGCACAGGTATTTCAGTATTATATGGCCAGGTCTATAATACAGTGATGAGTCACGCCAGGGCAAATTTATGCCAAGTGATTAACGATTCAGGCTAACTCCATAAGTAGCCAAGCAAGCCTGTAAGAGGCAGTATTTTCTGGAAGAAAGAGTACAGAGTAAGAGGATAACACGTTTTTTTCCCCACCCCTGCACAAAAATCCTATGGACAAATAGAACAATACTGGGGCAAGTACTTTAAAATGCAATTTTCCAGCCAATAAACCAACACTGGTGGGAATTCTGCAAAGGAAGGAGTTTAGGAATGTGACTTACCTGAAGCACAAACTTCTGATATAAAAAAAACATACGCTATATACTGACAATGTTTTTTGGATAATCTTCTGTTTTAAGTTTCACACGTATTAACTTGTCTTATTTTGTTTAGGGCTGAGGCTGTTCAGCAAGGTCACATGATTTGAGACTGCTGAAAAACTTCAGCAATCCTTTGGTCCTAGCAGCTGTAAAACAGCCAAGTAAAAAAGAACCTTCCCTACCAAAAAAAAATAAAACAAACCCAAAACACATCAACACAAATGGGGGCGAGATCATCACCAGAAAAGTATCTTCTAAACACCATCTGCTACACATCAGAAAAGGCAAATTTTTGTTACAAAATACACATTTTCATACAAAAGACATCTTGCAAAACCATCTGACTGCCCCTCCCTCTGCAGATTACAATGGTAAATGGGATCAGCTGGTTGGTCTTGAGATTGTTTTAATGGGAAAAAAAGTCAAAGGATCAGCATGACAACAACTGATCCTTTAAATGGCAAAGGATTATGACAGTCTTTGTTTTCACCAGTGTTTAAAAAAATCAGGAGAGAAACAGAACCAGAGTCTTCATAAGCAGAAAGCGCAACAGAGTATCAGCTGCTGCATCCTCCTGAACTTCTCAATGTGCTGCCAAACTGTCAATTATACGAACAGTTCAATTATGACAGTGCCATAAATTGTTAGAACAATGCAAATAGTGTGACCAGAAAGGTCCAGTCAACTGGTTCAAATTTTTTCCCAGTAGTTGCCCAGAAAAATGTCAAGACAATCTAAATCTATCCTTCAGCTTCCTCAATATGTCCTGATTGCTGGAGTATAGAGGTCTGCGGTATTACTGTACTTGTTCCACGAGAGATTCTGTCTTGATCTGTGTTTGTAGACAAGGAGGCCATAGCAATGGGCTGTAACAAACTGGGCGTCATGCCAGAGGAGACAGTTAGGCTGTGTGTAGTGCCCTTAAGTGTGAGATCCTGCGTGGGAAGAAGTGGCTTGAGGATGCTGACAAGACAGAAAGCAGAGCCACTTTTAGGAATGAAATTCACTTTGTTCTTGTCAGGGCAGTAGAAGGCTGGAATTTCATGCAATGGCTTTGGCCTAGAAATAAAATACACATGATAGTTTTAAAATTACATTGAACAATCAAATTCTGTCAGTGGCAGGCATGTATTGCTTAACACATCACCCAAGACTAGTTAAGGTTTAAACTTGAAGTATTTCAGGTACTCAATAATGCCTTAATGACACTCGCACCACACAGCAAATGGCAAGATGGTTACACTGCTTGTTTACATATACTATGAGATAAATAGCATATTCTTAGGGTAGGCTGTCTCCAAACCCAAGGAAGACGCTAACTTCATGTTGCAGATCACAAACCCTGTCCATGAATTGGGCCAGCTAACATATCAGAAAGTATTCTCAATCATGTCCTCCAGAAACTTTCACAACCTAACAAATCCTGACCCCCCCCCCCCTTTATACAGCAAACCTTGTGAAAGAAAGCTGGCATAGCAATCTTCCTAATATTGCCTGTCTTAGAGCTGTTCATGATCATAGGTGGATTCCCTTTTCCAAACTTTTGCCTCCTTTTCATGTTCACCTGAGTGTGGCCTGAATCTCTGTAAGATATGAGCCCATCTTACTTTAAAACTCAATGCAGAGAGTATAATGTAGTATTCCCAAAGTAGCATTCATGATCAAGTACCTATACCCTGGGAAAGAAGTGTGGAACACACATTTAGACCCTGACTTGCAGTTTTGCCATCTCAGCATATAATTCAAGTAACTCAGAGACAAACTTTATGAAAGGCAGAGCTGAACGGGAAAACTGTGGATAGCACAGGAATGCTTTCTTGGTCTATCTCTAACCCTGCAATGTAAATCCACTAAACTAGTCTTAACTCTGCTTTAAGACAAAACTATGGGAATCTGTTCCAAAGCCTCTCTTCTCTATCGGAAAATAACCATCAGAAATTTATACTCATTTTTTCTTGTGGCTAGCAGTGTTCTTTAGCTTGTAACATCCCCCTCTCTTCCATGTGTTCGTAAGACAGCCATATGCACTTCTGTCTTCACGCTACTAAGCCAAACATGCAAATCTTTCAGTACACTCTTTTAAGAGATACTCTACTCTGAAAAGTAATTCTAAAGTAATTCTGTTCATGAAATAGGGTACATTTCAATGATAGCTGATTCTCCAAGTGCCCAGAAAATTCAGCCCCATTTCTATTTTTTTCCCAAATGAAGATCCTGTAAACTTCAAATAGAAATTACGTTAAACAAAGGTTGAACTTGTGGAATGCAAGTACCAGATGTGAGGAAGATTTTTGCATGAGACTGCAGTGTCTAAGAACTGCCACAGCTAGGTGAAAACTTCTGTAGAAGCCTGTTTCACTCTACAGAACAGTCCTACAGCTATGCAGCAAGGATATCCAAAAAGAAATCCAAATGCAAGTCAAACCACAATAGAATAAGTTCTTGAAGTAAATGAAGACTACCTAATCTGTTGGCAACATAGCTTACACACTCTAAAATAAAGACAGGTAACTGAAGTTACTGTAATCGTTTCCACATTGCTATGGAGAGGCCGTAAAGACCTCTCGAAATCCATTTGCAGAGATTAGAGATGCAAGACACACAAAGACAGACATAATTTTTTTAATTACCACTTATACTAGACAGCATTGTTGAGATAATATAGTCATAAGAGAATTATAACCAAATTATATTCCTTGTGTGATGAAATGAAATTTTTAACTATAGGTTAAGACTCTTGCAGCCAAGTGACATAAAAACTCCACTGAAAATAATAATAAAACATAAAACCCGCAGAATATTCCCAAATTACAAAATTCGGCTTTTTCAGAATAACCAAAGCATCAAATACTCAGTGTCAAATTCACTCCTCTGTCAGTAAAAGTTTCACAACTACACAAATGTAGCTGAAAAGAATATGGTCTTCAGAGTCTACTGTACTGGATGTGCCTGTCAAGCTGTGACATATATCAGCTGATGCATCTGCATTACAGCTTCTTATTACATTCTCTGTACCTGATTATTTGAGTTCCTCCCCCACTATCTGCCAGCTAAGAGAGAGTCCTCTCAAGTTATGCTGTTTTTTAAAAAAATAAAGTCTCTCAAGGTTTTAACACAAAATTCCAGCAATAAAATACATACATATGTACCAGTACACAGTCACACAAAACAAGAGATCAGGCTGTTAGCATGGTTTTAGCAGCTGGACTAATAATTTTGATCTGACACAAAATCCATAAACCAATGGGTAACTCTCATGAATATTATTTCTTAAGTAGTAAAGATCAACTTACAAGCTTTCCTCAAAGACTTTCACCTTTTCACAGCCCTCTGGAGGTTCACGCTTGAACATGTAGCTGTTGTTGGGTTTTGGTGAGGTAGCGTATTTTGGCAAGGGAGAATTATTCCCATTCTCTGCAGGAACAGAGTATCTCATTACTTAAATGTGTCACATTATAAAAAAAACCCCAAGAACTATCTTTAAATGTCTGCCAAATTGAAACCCACTTCATTATCAATGTTATAAAATTAAGAAACATTTTAATTTGCCTCCAAGTCTTCATTTGCAAATAAGCTTTATCATCTCAATCCCTTTCCTCCTTTCTATTTCTCCTTATATCATTTTCAGGCTCCTCTGCAATCTCTGTTCATTCCTGGACACTTTCAGCTTGTAATTGCAAACAGTCCTGTGCAGTCACCATCTAGCCAAAAGAAATGGGTAGAAGCCATATTCCTCAAAAAAAAGAACAGGTTTATGTGGAATTATAAAATTCTCCTAGTATATCTCAGAAGACTTCTGATAAAAAATAATAATTAAAAAACCCCAAACAGTTACATTTTTATGGGTGCATGTATGAAATGCTGCAAGGTTGCCCACTTTGTCCAAGATCATACTAATATCCAATAGAAGCAACAGGACTAGCCTACTTTGCTGTTCCACCTGTTGCTGTACACTCTTGCCCTTCCAACCTGGCTAAAGTACTCGATTAATCTATTATTTAAAACCAAAAACTTGCTTGGGAAGCACATTCCTCAGTCACATCTATCCAGCTTCCATTACAGAGAACTAGGCATGTGTCCACGCACAGTATTTGAAGCGATTTGGAAAAAACAGATCACTTACAAAGAAAAAAAGTTCTACCATTTCTCCATGGACGCGGGAAACAATCCTTCCCTTTTACTATGAGCTCATGCACATAGCAATGAGTTAAAGTTTAGCGTTGTTGAACTTTTAAAGTTACCTTTATCTCTGGAATCTGCAAGATCATCTGTAGAACACGGACTTTCTTCACTGCCTTCGTTAGAGATGGTAAGAAATGAGGTTGGAGATACTGACTGGGAACGGCTGCTGTTGTTACTACCCCTGTCTGCTCCACCAGGTGTTTGGGTATCAATGCTGCGAGTACTACTACTACGCTGAACCAACGGAGGTGGTGCACGGTGCCCATCTGGAATATCTTGAGGCTGTTAAAAAAAAAAGTATCAGATAGCTGCTCTTGTCTGGTTAGCAATTTCTTGAAAACCAGTAATGCCGAGGGGTTTTCCGGCTTTCATAAAACTAAGTAGAAAATTTTATTCATTATGCAAGACTCCAACAGAAAATAAAATAAGTCGAGTTCAGAAACTAAGGACAACAGTTTTCAAGATCTCACAGAATCACAGAAATGTTGAGGTTGGAAAAGACCTCTGAAATAATCTAGTCCAGCACCCCTGCTCAAGCAGAGTCAGCTAGAGCAGTCTGTCCAGGACTGTGTCCAGTCAAGTTTTGATTATCTCCACAGACAGTGATTCTACAACCTCTCTGAGCAACTCCCTCCAGTTTTGAGCACCCTCACACATTTTGGGAGGGCAGAGGGTAAGGTGTTTTTCTTACATTCAGAATGAATTTAATGTTTTCATAGGTTATGCCCACTGCCCCTTGCCCTGTTATTGGGCACTACTGGCTCCCTCCTCTTCACTCCTGTGTATCAGATATTTATACACATTGATAAGATCTCCCCCGAGCTTTTGAGCTTTCTCTTCTCAAGGCTGAACAGTCCCAGCTCTCTCAGCCTCTCCTCCTATGAAAGTTATTCCAGTCCGTTAACCATCTCTGTGGCCTCTATTTCTGATAATTTATTACTAAATTTACCTCTAAAAATATCTAAAACTAAAATGAAAGTTAAAAATGGGCAAGTCATGCTTCAACTGGGATGGGGACAGTTCAGCATGGACAAAGAGAAAAAGTTACTACAAAAACTCTCAAAACAGACCTTTTTCTCCTCAGTTGTACTGAGAGTTCTTATTTTATTGGAAAACTAATTACATCACAGTAATCAGAAAAAAAGGTTCAGATTCAAGCTTTAACTCTTTCCTTCTTTTTGCTTTCCAAGAGACTTTTAAACTACATTTATTAAAGAAAACAAAATTAATTCCAGACAAATGTAATTCAAATACTGTGCAAAATAAAGCATATGACTCAAAACAAAACCAAAATAATTATAGAAAGCAATCACGATGGCAGATACATACAACAAGCTGCTCCTCTTTGTCTCCCGTCTCCTTAATTATTATCTCAATCTCCTGATTCAGTCCTTCTACACTGTTTCGGAATCGTGATCCTGTTGATTTGGTAATAGGTATCACAGGAACAAGAGCACTCTTTGGGATGGGAGCCTGAAGAACCAGAGACAGTGAGAAAGCAATGTAGCCTTACTTATAAGACACAGTTAACAATTTCTACTCAAAAGTGAACCTTTGAACAGAACACATCTACACCTCAATATCAAGGACTTACATGAAACCACAGCAACTGTGTTCAACTGAATACCTTAAATGAAGACACAGACATCCCAAATCTTGTTTCAAATCTAATTTCTAGTAGGAAAAGTTTTCAATAATCTAGTCTCAAAACTTTCCTTGATAAAAAAACTTTTAAAAAACTTTAAAAACTTTTTGTAACTTTTCCCTTGATAAAACTTCCCTGCCTCCAGCTCCATGTTGCTTTACAAGTGAAAGTTTAACAGTAAATATTTAAATGTAAGTAATTTTGCAGCCTTTAAAATATATTCACATTCCTTCTGAAGTGAGCTGTACCACAATTTCACTTCCTTCACTGGGAGGATTTACCACTTGCATTTTCATTAAAATTGTGTTTTGATAGAAGTCTGCTGTCACCTACAGTAACATGACACATGCAGAAGGAAATTTATTCCACAATTGGTAAGACTGCACTATGTCGGAAACGAAAACCAACATGGTAATTCTATTAAGCCAGAATAAAAGGTTGACAAAACAATTCAGGAAGACTTCCACAGAAAGAATAAAATCCCAAACCCAAATGTTAATACATAGCTGCTTCATAATGAAGACATCATTTTAAAACTCCAGTGTTTCAAAGTATTTATGAAAACTCCATTCTCAGAAAACTTGTTAGCGAAGATTTCCAAAGATCCTTTTGGTATGCCACAACTTCTCAAGATTTCCCATCCCCTCCATTAACACCCTCCCCCTGTTAAAAAATCACGCAATCAGAACATGAGAAGATTCTGCCCTAAACTTCAACATAGACTCTTGGTGATTATGCAGGGCACTACTAACAACGGAATGCTTCCTGCAAACATTTAGTTCAACTCAAAGAACTGCATGACACTTAAAGTCACAGTAGAATTCCTGGGTAAAACTCCTGGACTCTTATCGCCTAGTGTGCTGTGATTTCTCAATCATCTCCTCTACTGATTGAAGGACAGTAGCATTCTCACCTGGTCTTCAAATCAGTTGGTTTGTGTTTTTTTATTTTTCCTCTAAGTAACAAGACCGTGCAAAGACAGAGACCAAAGCACTGCAACTTTGCATGCGAATTCTCAAAAAACACACAAAAGTCGTCTGGCAGAAAAGCTACCTTAGAAAAATTAATGCAAACAAAAGAATTCTAAGTGCAGATCATAATGCAGACTTATTCTCAGAATCACAAATCTCTAAGGTGGCAAAACTTACATATTATATTGGTTTTGCTTTACTGAAACATTAGGATAGCTATTAAAACAAGAAACTTGCACAAGGACTACAAAAGCTTCTGTTCAAAAAATGCTTGTGACTGTTTATGAGAATGCTTAGTTTTTGTTGACATAATGGCCAAACTTGGAAAGACTTGAAGTCTTGCCTGAAGATGAAAAAGAGAAAACAGAAACCACTAGAGAAGAGCACAGAAAAGTCTGACGAAGTAACCCTTCTACTTCCATTCCAAAGAAGGCCTTGGATCAACAATCCAGTAAACTAATACAGGTCAATATGCAGTCATAATACAGGTACATCAGCACACATTTAGGCACTAATAAAGACTGTTTATGCACCCAGTTATTAAATATACACATCCTTAGCACAAACTGAGCTTCCTACAAGGTAGAAAGCAGAATGCAAGTACACTTGTCTAAGATTTCAGCAGCCATTAGCAAAATGTGGGAATTCTCTATCTTTTAAATACCTACCACAGAAATTCTTAGAATCATAGTACTATTTGAAGAGCTTAAAGTAGCAAAGCACAAGTTACTCCAACAGAGTTCACTATGGTTCAATATAGTATGTTTCACTTCCAAGAAAGTATTATTTTCTCAAGAGAAATAATATTCTGTACATGACTGAGGATGACTTGTTAATCCAGAGTGCCAGAGGCTGGAAAGGGAAGGAGGTACGGTTACAGGGGTGGAACAACCAGCCTCAAAACAAGAAACTTTATATTAGAAATACTGCCTTCACAGAGGTCTGCACGGAGCTGGCCCCAACATACAGGAACAGGCTACCAACCTTTGGCCACCTGCCTGCATATTTGGGAATGCAAAAAATGAAACAAGGTACCAAACACAGGATAGTAATTACAGCACTCACATAGTAACATACTGTCAGGGAGTTCTGGCGCAGGACAGTTAAGAGTCCTGAAACTTAGAGGTGTGGCATAAACTCATGAGATATGAAATACGGGTGATGACAAATTAAATCATTCACAGGTATTTTAGAAAAATGCTCTAAGCTCTTTCAATTTTTCAACACAAGACAGAACTTTACATAGAATCCAAGGTCTTTTGATGTTTTCAGATATTAACATCAAACCATCTCAAGATTGAATGCATCATGGTAATTCCACTCAAAATGAAATGTTCTACCTATGTAAGGTGGTAAGTTATTAAAAAAATAAAAAAACACGACTGCAAACTGCATGCAGTTGGTCTCAATATTAGTGGTTGCTTAGCATCAATTGATTGGTAAGACATTAAGGACACAAGCTTCCCACGAAAGTGAAAGGAGGGGGCTTGATGGTTCATAGTGTCAAGTAGCAGCATAACATCAGTCAAGTGCACTGAGGAAAAAAAAATATTTTTAAAGACCTAATCCATTTATTCTTCCATCTGGCTTCAGCTCTGGCCTCAATTCCAGTTTCTCCATTACATCAACACTGAGAATAAAGGAAGATCCCATTGGTCTGACTGCTATTTATAGATTTACTACCATGTAATTAATTCAAAATCCAATGTTCTCAGAAGCCTCCTGAAATCACCTGAGGAGGCTATGACCTTTCTACAAACCCCTCTTCCTGTAAAGACAGGCAGAATGGAACATTTCTGGCTCATGAAAAAAAAAAACAAAACAAAACCAAAATCATTTAATTGCTCCAAAAAAAAAAAAATGTAGTCAGCAGCAAGGACTTGATCAAGTTCCTCACCAACTATCTCCTGATTCTGAGCAGAGGGGCAGGAATAGCTAACATGTTTATTCTGCAGAGGTTGTGTGGATTTCTTTCTCCAAATGAAAATCACAGAAGAGAGAAGCACAACCAAACAATCAGTTGGAGGCTTAGGTGCTAAGAATCACTGTAAAAATTCTGGTAAAACTCAAGAACTGTGGCAAAGCCGAAGTGTTTACTTGTAGGGAAGAAAAAAGGAAATAAATCCACTGGAATTGCTTCTTTTTGTTTTAACTGGAAGAGCAAGTCATTTCCAAAATGTTAAACAGAGTTTACCTGGTCTCTGTGAAGGGACTACTGAGGCAATTTCCTAACACATTTCCACGGCCTTGTCAGGAATCAACTCCTTGAGCTCAGAAATCTTTGTATGACCCTCTAGAGTCAACAACTGCAAGTCTCCTTCAAGTTGGGAATGCAAAAAAAATTTCTAAATATTCTAGTCTCTAACTGCAAGTGTTTCCACACAGTCCTTCCCACAAATCCTGAAGGAACGGAGCTGCTGCCAGAAATTCTAGTGTAGCAGCCCCCTGGAAAGGAATGAGAAAGCCTAGGAACTTTGCCCTTGATGCCTACAGTCACAGATTTTCACTCTGACTTAGAAAGCAGCCTCTAAATGCCATTAATCTAAATCCTTCACTTACTCTTTTTGAAGCCTTCTGTAACTTCCCCCCTTCAAAAGTAGCCCAACATAGCGGGCACAAAATTTACCGAGAAAAACAATGGTTTGTTTTGTAACACAATGCTGGAAAAGATGCTTTGGCTCAGTTTGTATTTTATAGTCTGTTTCACAAGCCCAAAAGCTAATTATCTGTTGTGCAATATTTTATTCACGTACTCTAAAATTTGGCAGAATGCAAAAGATCTCCATACAAGCAGCAAAAATTCATATGCATAATAATAAAGTAATTATAATGCAAAAAATTATATACACATTTGGGGCGGTATTTTTCAGAGTAGTAGCATCACTGTTCATTTTCAAAATCAAAACCTACTAAGATTATCTATGTTGAAGTGACAATAGCTTAGCATTCAGAAACCTACAGGTTTGTAGAATACCAAGCCACACCTGTTAAGACTGCGTGTAATTCTCTAGCGCACTGAAGGGCCTACACCAAAAGTTCTTCAGTATATTTTGCTTCTTGAAATGCTTCAATTGCCCACAAGTACAGAACAAATCTTCGAACAAGTCCTACAAATTTGGATAAAATACCTGCATCTAGTATTTTGACCTGCTGCTTTTTTTTTTTCCCCTCAAATGTGTCTTGCCAAAACTTTCTCAAAAGCCCCTAGAAGAGATTAGGTCAGTTATTTGTCTGTATTCTTTTGTCATTTTGGACTGTTCCGACTTGAGCTACAGCAGTCACTAAGATTAGCAGCATGCTACACTGCACCTGTACTTTAGTAAAGCAGATCAAAATGTAGGAATTTGTACTACACAGTCTATTTCAAATTCAAACTGTTCTGCTACACAGAAGAGGAGGAAGAAACAGTTTCTGGTTTGAGATTCAAAGAGTTTGAAGAAGTAATTCCTAAATTGTTATGTCAAAAAATTTAATTCTAAAGAAAAATCTTAAATACAATACTTCCAGTAGCACAGAAGTCCAACTAATAATAAACTGAATTCAAGAGGCACCTATGTCCAAAAATTCATGACTCCTAATTAAATGAACTACAGCAGGGATAAGTTCAGGTCCAAGACAAAAGATGCTACTAATTTTTATACAAAGTAGGAGTTATGAAGAACAGTGAAGGAGAAATTCAAAACACTGTTCTACTTCTCAATTTCCAGTCTTGAAGTAGAACATATTCACTCAGACATCTGACTTCTATCTACAGAAGAACCTGGCTGCTCAGGACTGGATGTATGATTCTCCCTTCTATTTTTTTATTTCATCCTTTATCAGCATGGGTTAGTACCTGTAGAGCATGACACATGGTGACGTCAGAACAGCTTCCCTCCCTGGCCTAAATTACTTCCAGAACGATGGAGTAATTTGGAATATAATTAGATTTGCAGAGAATCACTTTCTCAGTTCACCACGCTGACAGTTCCACAGTTTCTTTCAACTACACTGACTTGCAAGGCAATTGTGAGGGATTTGTTCTTTTTGTAACTTAAAAAAAATTGCATGTATATCATAAATACACATTCATGAGACATCAGTAGGGGGAACAAAAAAATATTCTTCTGAAAAAATGACCAAACTTTCCTATTGGTTTTCTTAAAGTTACTAAGCAAAACAGACTTGAAAAAGGATCTGTGTGTCTAAAAGCCTGTAATTTTTTTCCACCTGCTATCAATTGAGCTAAAAAGATTACTCCTCTACTCCTCTGTGAATCTGGCCTCATTAACAGTCTTGAGATAAAACTGCACATAGAATGTGTGGTGGCCTAACCATCACAATTTTTTAAGTGACTACTGCTTAAAGTCTCAAGGCATGATAAATGACAGGAAAAAAAAAAAAACACACCAAAATCAAACTTACAAAGGCTGAATGAAGCCATCAAGAGTACAAACGCTTTTAACAGATCACATAAAAATCCCATTGAATAGCCTTTTGTCAGTTAAGCTCACTAAATGAGTTCATCATTGGATTAGACAAGTGCTATTGTTGAGACACAAAATGTGATCAGCAAAACCTACAATTTTGAGATTATCATTTTACCACCAGTTTGCTCCATGCCATATTCTACATGCAAATTTATAATTGTTACAGCAATGCCTAATGAAAGAGATAACCTATGGGTTTAGATTAAATTTATCTGTCATCTTTTTGTGACACAGAATGCACTTTAGGAGTCTTGCCTTAAGGAAGGCTCTAACTATCTGAAATTCTTTGAAAGCTGGAGTTCAAAGCCAATCCAGCCAAGTAACAAGAAGATCTGGATCCCCATACACTCAAGGAAGTCAACGGAAACAGATCAATTTCATAGAATTCACCTATAGCTACAACACATTTAGCAGTAAGTGGTATTCCTCAATTCCCTTTAAGACAAATCACAACCTTGAAAGGAGTTAAAAATAGTATTAGCTATCCAATATGTCCAAAAAGCGCACAGCTTTACCTGATTGTGGTTAATGGCTGCATGGTTACCATGAAAAGGAGACTGTCTTTCTTTATCCCGATGATGCCTACTGCTGTGTTTGCTTCTCTGCAATTGCTGACGTAATTTTGCAATCTAATAAAGGAAAAAATTCAAATTAGATTTCACCAGATATATTCAGGTACACCCATAGTTTCATCAATTTATTCCATTACTTAGTTAAAACTCTTTACTACCACAATGTTCATAATTATTGCCAGTACTAAACTAGACTCAAGTTCTTGCAAACCTAACATGTTAGCTACCAGTTCAGCTGAAGTCCAGAAGACACCTCTGGAGGTTTAATGAATGAACTTGAAATATATAAAGTTTGAAAGTAGTTTGGTGACTGCTGTATTTCCCCCTTTGATGAAGAACATCACCTGCATTTGACGCTTTTTCCCACACATTCAGATTAGAAATTTTAATAGTCCTGCATTATTATATGAAATCAATATCAAGTGAACACCTAATTCTTATTTTTTACCAAGCCCACAATCTTTATAATAAAACAAAGCAGTACAATATTCATGCCTTCCTGAAAACTCACAGTAACAGTGCATACCAGTAAAAAACTTAATTCAAAGGTATCTCAAATAACAGCATGTCTGACCTCCTTGAGTTGATCATTACTGCCCCATGATGCTGAACGTTTGTGTGAACTTCTCTTCTTGTCTAAATATTCTTCAGCCCAGGCACTTTCTGTCTGCAGCAAGATTACAAGATTAATTAAAAAAAGGTAATTTCCAATTTCTGGCAGAATATTTTGTGACAAATTAGAAGAGAGAACAGTGTTAAGATTTGCTAGATTCAGAACTGTGAATGAAAAGCAGTCACTGACTAGAAGTCTTTCTGACAAGTATGAAAAAGCGGAGTGAAACTACATAATTGGAAAAAAACCAACCAAACAATAAAAAAAACCCCAACTCTCAGACCTAACCTAATACAGGAATGCGCTAGTTTCCCTTCCAAATTATGAGCATAAGGTAGTATTAACAGCCAGATATACCACAAGCTGCTATAGAGCTCTGAAGAACCAGTATGACAGTGCTGAATTTGGGGGAGATAATATATGTTATTTCCTGCATAGATGCTGACCTTGTTTTTTCTGACACATTAGCAAGGGTAGCTTGGCGTAAACATAGTGAAAGCCTGCACAGTACAGCTTCAAAATCACATCCTTGCTCAGAATAATGACAAAAAGAAAGGCAAGACACACAAGCACCACTAGAGCTATTGCAAAGCAGGGAATTAACGTATTAATGTTTCAAAGGGCTTCCAGCTCATAGTTGTCTCAGGCCAAGCAGAAAGCAACACAGATAATACTAAGCTAGTTTCACTAAACCAACGAAGTAATTAACATTTAGTAAAGAAAATTGCAAACATACTGTGTTGAAAAAGTTCTGAGAAATTCAAAGTATCATTAAGACAAATTGTATTTATTAAAGGTAACAAAATGAACAGGCAAGCCTGGGATAATACTGCATGCTTTATGAACAGTTTGTATTCCCACCTAACCATCCCCAGAATGGCCTTCAAAAGCAATGAACTGTAAAGGCTCTAAGAAGAGGGATAGCAACATCTATCAGGAATCTCCATGTAGCTACAAGAAATACACCTAATGAAGCAAGGGGAAGGATTTCTGGAAGCAACTCACACATTGAAAGAGACAGAAAATTCCTTTAAATTCACTGTTGCCACAGTGCAGTTCTTAGCACATATCTAGCTAACCCACCCTTACGAGTCATTAGTATCTCACTTTCTCTTGCAGACAGCATCTTTGATTGCCTCAAAGCCTTCACATCTACAGTGTGTAACAGTTCTTACATTTGAAACTAACAGCTTGCAAGCCACAAGCTGAACTTACCCCATCTGTACTCAGAACACAGAAACCCACAAAGTCTTCAATGATGTGGCATTAATCCCCATTTTGCAGGGAAAATGGAAGTGTAACTTCAAATACAGAGGTTGTGACTCCCATTGGCTTCAGTTACAGATATGTTTCATGTAAATGAAACCTCTGCTATCAGTAGCTTTTAATCTTCATCAGTCCAAATAAAAAACTAACTAGGACGAATCTGAATAATAAAGTTAGCACAGCTGCTTTGAAATCCCTATTTCATAGCAAAATTAGAATCCATTAGAATCTATTTTTCCAGAAAAGCACTCGCTTGTCTTCATAAAATAGAATAATTGATAACCCCCATTCCCAAGTACCAATCTTTGTCTAGTCAATTCACAAACATCAGTCTGGAGTCTCATCTTCTCCTCTAGCTCCTGGAACAGTAAGTTTTAGCCACTAATCCTAACTCCCCAACTCAGTACAACCATCACACTTGCCTACAGGAACATAATTAACACTCTAATCAGTCTCCACAGTTAATTGGTATTCAAGGCTTTGACTTCAGATTCAAGACTCACTTCATAAATTAATATCTGATTCATTTTAAAGGATTAAAGGTTGCTTTGATGTTTACCCTCAAAACAAATAGTTAGAAATCTTTTTAGAGCAAGAGTAGGTATAAGACATTAAATTACAGGAAACCTTTACATCAAGACAGAAATGTAATATTACTTTAGCAAGTCTCCTCCTACTTAACTCCCTGTGTTTTGTTTCTAATACTTATTTTCAAGAAACACAGACCTGATAACCATTAGACAAAGAGGGATTTCTATTTCTCCAGGTTCTTAAAGTACTGCTGCTTGCTTGTTAGTTGTTACCATTCATTCACAGTATCCTTCTGCCTTTCTAGACTTACAGACAAATGAGTTTAAGGCTAAATTTATCACAGATACTAGAACACTTAAGGGTAAAAAAAAGTCTTAAGAGGCAAGAACTTTGCAGTTGAAATTAATTATTCTTTAAAAATTTAAAAAATATAAAGCAATTGTCCCATTTTAACCTATATTTTGACATAGCTGTATTTCAAACTAACACAGGCAAAGCCAAACAGGTTTGATTCAAAGGGAAAAAGATACAAGCTTACAAACACCTGCTTTAGTAGCACTTAAAACGTACTTGCATGTATGAAGTCTAGCCAGACCCTCACACATTCAATAATACACTTAATCATCATCCGACAAAACACTCTGCCTGTACATAATTCAGTTTGGCTTTATAGACAGGTTTCTTCACAATAATTAGTGGAAGCAAGAGTCTAATACACAGATAGTCTCTGCATGACCTGGCCTCTCTTACACAGTCCTCAGCTCTGACCTATGGGCACCTCTATAAAGGCCTGCAAGCCAAAGTGTGTCACTAATTGCTGTCTCTTCCCAGTCTGCTTCCTGAACAACTCTACTCCCTATGCTATAAACCTGCAGAATCAAGATACCCTGCTTACTCAACCTGAAAATCTTTTATATCTTAATATATTCGATTCCTGTTTCCTAAACTTTTGAAATCTGAACACAGCCATTTCACATCAGACTTTGTGAAATATGAAATTACACACTGGAGTTAGAATACCTTGCAAGTGAAACTTCATCCAAACACCACATCTGCAGAAACGCTAAACAATACAAATGGACAGCCTATACTATCTTGGGAAACCAGCTATTGTAAATCACATTTTAAACTTGTCCCTAGCTCAAATTGTTGGTCTCAAGCACACCAGAAAGACTGAAAGCAATGATGTCTCAGTGTCATATCAACCTCAGCTTTGGACATACAGATGTATGTCTGTATCCCAAAGTTTTCTACCGGCTTGATAATTTTTTAATTAGGAAGTGCAAATAGATCATTTTATTTCCCTCAGCAGTATACTAACATCAATCACCACTAAATATACTCATTCTGCAGAAAAATCCACTGCCATTTTCAGTCTTCCCATTAATCTGTGCAAATATGCTTCCCCTTATATATGAAAGCCCCACTACCATAGCAGCTAGATGTGTCAGAATTGAAAGAAAAAGACAAAAGAAAAACGGGAGCCAAAAAGGATGACAGCTAATCTAGCTGGAAAATACACAGATTATAAAAGCCCAACCATGACTCAGATAAACCAAAACTAAGCTGAAATAGATCAACTGAATATAGCAAATACTTTGTCAGTAGGACAGCAATACAATTATTTTTAAAAAAGTATTATCCTAAGAAAGCAAACATGAAAATAAATAGCTAAGGCACCCACACTGGTTTAGTTATGCCCTTTACCAATGTCTTTTAATAGCTAAACATAAACAGCAATTCCTCATATATCATATGCCTGCCTTTTTCATCCTCCTCTTACTGTGATCTGCCTACTTTTTTCACCCCATCTTCTAACTATTTTTCCGAATCATTTTCCTGCACACAAAACTTGTTCCTCAGCTCTTCTTTCTTCACCAGTTTCTATTTCCACCTTGGCCACACAGGCATATTCCCCTACAAACATCTTACTTTTCTACTGATCTGCTCTTTGAATTGTGGTCCTTTCTGCAAAATGTTGTGGATCTTGAGAAGGCCATACAGTAAAAACCAACACTGCAGACATCACCTGCTCGACATCATATACATTTGAGTAGACAGCACACTGAAACCTACGAGGCCGCATTTTTGTTATTGCTACCAAACCTAAGGCAGGCTCAGTATGTCCCACATGCTGTCAAGTTTCTATTCCAACCACATTTTGCTTATGTTCTTTGGAATTGGTGGAAACCTGTTGCTGAAACCATGCTCTAGGAACAGCGATTTAAAATCTGATATGTTTGGCTCTTTCTTTTGCTCTACAAGTTCAAGAAATCCACAGCCAGACCACATCCACAGAAGGAGACATGAAACACTGGCACACTTCATGAAAAAATCCATCTTGAATCACTTCTGCATACAGTAGGATACCACTTAACAACAGCTCCCTTTAAGGGGAATGATGAAACAACTGTCATCATAAGTGTCTAACTATTATAACACCAGTTTCATTCAATTGTTTATTGGTTCTGTCTTTACAGGTGGCATAGGACTGAGCCAATAAAAGCTTGCGAAATTTTGTCAAGTTGTTCAAGTTTATTGGCAAATCATGTACTTTTTTAATACTTTCCAGTTGAGCTAAATCTGAACATCATTCACGGTTTAGGGAGGCAGCTCTTCAGTGTATATAATTCTATACTCAGTGTGTAGATCCCAGGTGAACATTAAAGGCCTTTTACAATTGGAGGATGAAGAGCCTATCATACCAAAAGCTACAATAACTTTTATACAGACACTATACAAGCTTGGTTTATTCAGTTTTAAGGCAGACAGACACACAACGAGTGCAATCTAGTGTCCTGCACACTGTAAGAACAATAACAACACAGATGTGGAATACACTAGTGTTTCTGAGGCAAAAAGAAAGTGGAACTCTTAACAGATATTACAGTTCACAGCTTTTTCTTAGAGAAGAATGCAAATAATTCACATACTAACAGCAAAGGCAGGATTCCTGCAATTCAAAAGTGAATAGGAACTTGCAATGTTTTCAAGGGAAGTGCTTCTTACATTTAAATCCTGTCTTCACATTTAAAAATCCTGTCTTCATATTTAAATACTCTGAAGACAAAAATCTGTCCTACCTGTGTGGCTTTGTCTCTCATACATGGAGCAGCTTGTCCGTGATTATCACGAGGCCACTGTCCAGCAAGGTATGGAGCAGCAAGCGTATCCAGTGAGGAAGTCCGACGAATAATACTGGAAGGGCTTGATGAAGGTGGTCTTGACTTGTCAGCTAGAATAAGAACACTTGATTAGAAAGAAAGCAAGACAGAGAGATCAATTATTTTAATTGCCTACAAAAAATCATAGTAGTTTCAATTTGCTATGTCATTAAGTATACAACAAGATACTTTTATATGCGTTTTCAGGCTCTATTCAGTTTTAATAAGCAATGAAAAGTGGGTTTATGGTTTCCTTAAAAACATCCTTATGTCACAAATGTTGCATCGGTACTCACAGACCACAATTTATTCTCTCAAAGGTGCAACAATCATTTGATTCTTAAATGATGAAGGTTTGGAAGAAATAAAAATTTCTAAGTTTCCTCATATGTAAAGCCTAACAAACAAAATCTGTGCTGAACTTTTTCAATGTAATGCCAAGTTTAGAGTTCATCTCACTAACCCTTTACCCTTCACCTACTTTAATTCGAGAGACACTAAACTGACATGCTTTATTAACCACCCAGTATACGATATATGGCAGATTCATAAAGAGTTATGTCTAACCCTTAGCTCCAGAAATCAACTTTGGTAAGGTAATGATTTATATTTTATAAGATAATCAAGACATCTCCTCCCCTTACACACTACTTGGTAACTACACTCATATTTGTCCGACACTACACCTCCTCCAACACCTCATTTTTAGTGTTTATACTATTACCACTTTTCAGAAAAATTTAGATACTAACAGGAACTCTTACCAAAAAAGGTTAAATATAACAAGCACGGGAAGTAACATGAGAAGAAAGAATATGGTTAAAAACAAAAATTTCATCTATTCTATCTGTCAATGAAATCTTAAAGTGGCAGCAAAAGACTAAGCTGCAAGCTAATTACTGTAAACACTGTGAAGAAAGGTTCCTCAAAATAGTAACTGAGGTTTCTTAAAGAGACCAACAATCAGGAAAGACCCAGAGTTTAGACATACATATATGCTCACACACATTATCTGTTACTAGCTATTCTATATGTAAAATGCAAAACCAGAGATCACAATGATCTAAGCTTACTATCAATTAATCTGCTCCCCACAGAATCATACCTGAGAGAACATGTATTAATCTTACCTGCACGGCCTGAAACAAATGGCTAGAACACAGCAAACAAGATGCAGAGATCAGATAGAAGCTTTACAAGCGCACTGGAAAAAATCAAGTTATACGTCCTTCCTGACTGCCTTAGGATGAATTCTGCACTAGAAGTGCAACATAGCAATTGGTATTCCACATAAACTTATTTATGGGCAAAAGTAGTTGTGCCTGATTAGTGTTTGACTGCTAGCTAACCAGAAAATAAAAACACTGCCATCAGAAGTTCAGAATTCAATTTCTAAGCTGTTTCAATCTACTAAAGATAAACAAACCTGTTAGGTATAAATTTCAGTGGTGTGGACATCATTTTTGTCTCACAGAACACCAGTCTTTCAAATATGAGTTTGGTGACATTCTATACTAAATATCCTCATGCAAATCTCGCATTAGAAATGTACACCTTAAAAGTGCGGAAAATATTTCAATTCAAGTATATGGGAATCATTATTAGCATTATAATCAGCCACATTCACATAAAGCAGTCCAGAAACCTCATCTGGTTTATTATTTCTACTTGTACCAACAACGGTAAGACCTTACTACTGAGCTCATGGCTCTCAGGGAATAGCAGCAAAGCCCAATTTTGGAGTTATCATGCACTTAAGACCCCTGTATCAAAGAAATTCTCTGACTACTATCACTCTACAGCACACTGAAGGGTCTGTTTGTATCAGAAGATTTCAAAATTATTCCTTTTGTCAGTACCACTTAATAGAGGAGAATGTGGCATGCTAATGCAATGTATCGTCCCTTAAAAACTACACTTGCTTCCAAAGTTATATCAAACATGTTATTTGTCTCAGAAATAGCTGCCATACTCTCCCTATTTTTCTTCTGAATTATTGTTCTTCCTCTTCAAGAAGCTTCTCTCTTTTTACCAAGGGGAAACAGAAAGGATGTGAAAAAAAACCCTAAAAATCAGGAAGTGTATGTAGTCAGTTAGATCATCTGCAAAGCCACTGCAGCAGACAGCTTCAAAACTGAGGCAGCAGTTATTACCCTCTCCCCTCCCCCACAAAAAGAGTGGAAAGAATATTTTGCTGGGCAAACAGAGAGAATGAAAACTGAAGTGCCTGTTTATTATTTAAGTTCAAGGGAAGCTGCTCATTTCAAGGCACAAAGCCTACAAATACTCTCTTTTCCTCTGATTTAAAAATTCCTTCAAGGAATTCTGTTTCCAAATTGCATTTATTTAGACTGGGCAAGGATGTTTGGATACATTTTTTACTTACTTTTCCACCTCCACAACATGTCTTAATACAAATTGCCAGTCTACTACACAATTCCTCTTGCTGTTTCAAAACATTTCAATAGGAACATATACAATGTTTTCATTGCACTTTCCTCTACAATACTTGACGCAAGTGTTCAGCTGCTATTTTTCCTTGATGTGACCTACATAACAAGAGATCTGCCTCCATAGAGATAACAGTTATAACAGCTGTGGCTGATGAAAAACAATGGAGCTGTTTCATCAAATAGACGCTTCTTAAATATTAGATCTGTTTTAATTGGCCTGATTATCTCTTTAAACCAGTATTTGTGATAAACATCACCCCTCCTATCCATTCACCGCTACTCTAAATCTATTTAGAAACACAGTCTTTCTGCAATCTGGCTCCAAACAAAGCAAAATTACAGAACAAAACATAAACTGAACATACACAGTACAATTCAACAAAGCCCATAATGTGGGAAAATAACAAGCAAGTTACTATATCTTCACAAGTCACTGCAATACAACTGACTGACTGAAGCTGCTACAGGTAAACTGGTATCACACATCTGTTGCAATTGTGAAGTCAGGGACCTCCAAAGGCAATGTAAGCTAAGGCAGTCTCACAATGTGACTGAAGAGCAAAATTGAACAAATATAGAAGCTTACCAATAACTAACTGAAAGGTAGGAAAGAGAGCACTGACTCAGTGGGGTCTTAACGTACAAGTCCTACAACTATCACTATAACTGAAAAATGTAATTACAGTGTGAGAACACATACCTTTGAATTGGATATCTCACATGAGAAAACTGCTATATATAAAAGAAAGGAATAGAAAAAAATGAGGGCCTTGCACATAATAAAGTCCCAAGAGACAAAACACCCTGGAAATTCATCTGCTGTTAGAACTGCAAAATGAAGATTACTGCTGAAGTGTAACTTGACCTTACAGCCCTGTTGATACCTTTCCACATAGCTGAAATTAAAGTTTTGAGAAAGGAAAATAAAAACTCCAAAGAAACATCTAACAGACACCATGAGAAAGCAAAACAAAACCAGCAAGCCACAGCAAGAGACACTGGTAAAAGCACAGGACACCATTAACCTCACCAAATTCCCTGACAGAATTCTAATTGAAGCTTTTTATACAGATAGGATATCCAAAAAAGTGAGAAGGAGCGAGACCCAACTAGCTTCTCTAGCATCTAGGCAGAGAGATGACCTTTTCATTCTGTTTTGGTCAGTCTTTTCCTCAGACAGGACATTCATGGGATCTCTCCCATGCACAGCTGTCTTTTCCCAAAACCTCATACGAACACAACTGATCTCAGGAGCTTCACCTACTTTTTTATGTTTCATTGAAAGTATTCAACTGGCCTGGACAGTATTAAGAATAGCACAACTGTGTATACTCCCTTTGGAAGACAATCTTGGCTATTATCGTCACATAAATTTAAGAAGAACTACTTGCACTTCTGCTTCTAGTAATTCAAAATGATCTCTCATTAGGAGAATGACTAAATTGATGTTGTTTTACAAAACCAAACCTCAGAAAGTGCAAGATGTTCAAGTTACTTAATTCTAGTGAATGAAAACATTTATAATCCAAATAAACTCCCCTGAAGTGTTGGCCACAAGAAACCTAAAAGTGTAACGCTGCAAAAATGAATTCACTTTCTTTACACCTACCATTTGTTAAACAGCTTAGGTAAGCAAAGCAGGCACGTAACGGTACACAAAGCCTTCTGTACCCTCTTAACCTACAGTAGTATAACTACTGCAAAACCTTGGTCATTAATGTTGACAGGTCTGCAGCTATTATTGTGCTACTCACCAAATTCTTAAAATAAATAAATTCTAGAGTGAAATTTAAGAGTGTAATGGAGTTTCACTCCTTCTCCCTACCCCAAGGAGGTGTTCAGAACTCTTTCAGACTTTCCGATATATTGTTATACCAATTTTCACCATTTCCTTTCACGCAAGTAAGCTTTAGTATTACTCTTCCATGTACCATTCTAAACAATTAAAGGCCAATACAGTTCCAAACAAAACTAACCAATTTTTCTCCTTAAGTTTTAGAGTGAGGTTTAATGTCCAATACAGTCAACTGTAATATCCCAGAAAGTTCAGCATCCAGGAGAGAGATCTCTCACAATCTCAAGGCACCTGAAAGAAGCAAACAACTTCTACGGCTCTGGTTTCGACCTTCTTGTTTACACGACCTGGTGCATTATAACATTTTTGGAGTTGAACTCTTCTGAGAAAATGTGTTTTATATAAGAACACAAATAACAAGATCACATTTGATCTTTACCCAGCAGATAAACCAAGATAAAAATAACAATAAAGGTGGAGCATACACAGTTCTCTATCTCATTTTGCAGAAGTCCACTAGTAAGTCAAAACAACATCCTCTAACAGGCGTGTTTTGCAGACAGGTAGAGGCATATGTGAAAACTGAACCAAAACTGGAGATTACAGGGCAGACCTCACAGTGTAGAAATGAGGCCACACCAATGATGGGAAGGACAGAGCACATTAACATGCAAGTAGAAGCTGAAGTCTGAAATAAGTGCTAGAGACTGCAGGGAGGGAAATCAAAAGATCAAAACCGGGTAACAGGAAGATCTAGGCTCTTGGTCATATTTACGAGGGAAGTGGAAAGAAAAGCACAGAAATTTAGAAATTGTGTCATGGAATCTTCGGTTGGTAATTATCCCATCATCAACAGAAAATTTAGTTGATTTCCGACATTTAGTTGTAATTCAGTTCAGAAAACAAGTAAAGCAAACAAAAAACCCACACCCAAAAAAACCTCAAAAAGAAGGTATTAAGTCACATTTGTAAATTCACAAGTTGAGGTTCTCAAGTGTTAAGTAGGTTGATGAAAACTGTGTTCAAAACTACTCAACTCCTTCCCAGAAAAGAAAATCTGAAATACATGAAGTTGAGTCTAAAGTATACCATTTACAGAACCAGTATCAAAGTTCAGAAGAAACTACCTTTTGTCTAACCTCAAGGTTCATTTTAATCTAAAAAACATGGCTGCTGTAGGAATGAACAAAAGGCATCATCAACGGAAAACATGAAACAGGAAAACCCAAGTTATTCTGCAGTAGATTCTGACTGATACCCTGAAGTGGCCTGCATGGCTCCACAATCGTAGCCTCATTAACAAAAATACAGTTGTAATTCCATGTTCTCAGCTACCATTAAGTTTCTCATCTAGATGAAGAAAAAATTTAAGTTAACTCAGTCTCTATCAAGCACTGCACTACACAACACAAATGTTAAGCAATATTAAATAGCTTTAATTCGCATTTTGGGTCAATACAAATACTGCTCAGAAATTTAAACATGTGGAAGCAATCAAATGGACACTGCTTCTGTTTTCACACATCTTGTAAAAAGCTAGTGGAGTTATTTTAACACAGTAGAGTGATCAAATGACCTGTTTCTTTGTACATGCTAATTCTTAGATCCAGTAAAAAAGTTAGCACAGTTTCAGCAGGCTTCTAGATGGTGCAATTTTTCCACCCTAAGTGGTCGGATGCATGTCTTTACAGCTTTTGAAGCTGGATCTCAAGGCTAGCCATCCGATTCCTCATTCTCTAGGGCAGGAGACTGCATCTTGGGCAAAAGTTTCTATAAAGTTCACAGGAAGAAGATAGGATTTTGTGATGTGTATAAAGTCTTTCAGATTACTGATTAACAAGAATCTCAAATGAAGAATACATACAAAAATCAAAAAATCAATCAATTTTTACTCAATCCAAAGCCTCAAATATAATTTTAAAACCCACATTACTCTTATCTGGAAAGTGGAAAATCTAATTCAGAACCTAAACACCTTTGTGGCACTGCTCTCTTACACTGCACACAAGCAGGCACATGGTAATCTTGAAGGGATATGTCTGAATAAAAATTTTAAAAAAAAGAAAAATTAAGTCACACAGACATTAGCTTAAGTACTGAACCACTTGGTTCTGACTGTCTAATTTGGCAGCATCATTCCTCAAGCCCCAGGATAGGAAATAAAAAAGAAAAAGCCCAACACGGTAGTTATAATCATTATTTTAGAAGCTGGGAGCAACATTAGGAGAAATGTTAAAGGGAATCATGTTGGTCCTAGATTTCTGCAGATAACTTCTGCATATTATTGTGGAAATTACCACATGTAACTTCATGAAAGAGTAGCCATAAGCTTCAATATCTCAAAACTCATTTTTTTTTTCCAGATTTGAGGACATTAACACAAAGCCCCATTCATGCATTTTTGAGTAAACTTTTATCCTAAGAAGAACTTACATATGTAAACCTTTATTATCCTCAACCAGATGCCACATATTGCTTAAATTTCAGCATTTCCTCTAAGTGTGTTTTAATTATTCAAAAACATTAAAAGCAGTTTGCTGCAAAATGTATGTCGTTCCCAAACTATTTTCTATCTTTGCTGTAGCGCAACCTTGTCATCACTCTCAAGTTCACATATCCTTCTGCAGGGTTCATGTTGAAAGTAACTACCAAGAGGGATACTGAATACTTTTTTCCCACATCTATGAGCAACGCGTACAGCACTAGCCAGTTTTCTCATCAGAAGCTTGTGGACGCTGTTTGGATCAAAGACACATACCACCTGGCACGAGATGCACAGCGAGTGGAGAAGATGTGAAGGCTTCACAACAGCCCCCAAACGCTACAAGCAACTTAAGCTTGTGCCGAAGTCTCTTAAGCACATCTCCTGAACCACTGGCTCTCTCTCGTCCGGAAACCTTCGGCAGTGCTTGCAGAAGTGCTACAGGAGGGGCTACAACTCCCCAGCTGGCACGCTTGGCTTTCTCTGTCCCTCTTCTAAAAGCCAGGAAGCAACAGAGCAGCAACAAAAGCAACAAGCCCTTCCCCACATACGCGCTCCACAAGTGCTGCCGCCAGGCAGAGAGGGATCAGAAGGGCACACGCCTGGGCGCAGCCCCTGTCC